CATAAATGAATGAAATCAAAATGAGATGAAAAAATTCTGATGAAACAAAGATGACCAATGGAGAGACAAGGTTATCAAATCCTCTGGGAACAGCTTAAAGCATTCTGAAGAAATTTATCTCAATAAATTGCCTAAACCAAAATCAAAAAGATCACAAATAGACAATCTAACGAAACGACTCAAAGAGCTTGGGAAAAAAAGAACAACAACCCAAACCCAGCAGAAAAGTGAATCAACAAGATCAAAATCAGAACTAAACGAAATTGAAAAACAGGGAGGCTATTCAGGAGATTAATAAAAAAAAAGTGGTTCTTGGGAAAAAAATAAACAAAAATTGAACCATGGCACTGGCTAAGCTAACATAAGCAGAAAAGGAAATCTGCTAATAAGGCTCCGTCAGGAACAAAAAAGGAGAGTATCAGAACTGATCCCAAAGAATACAAGATATAATTATGAATTACTAGCAAAAATCTTTATGCACAACAAAACTGGAAAATAGGAGAAATGGACAAATTTCTAGAAACACACAGCCTCCCTAGGGCGTCAAACCAGGTTAAGAAATAGATTCTCTGAACAGACCAATCTCAAGAGCTGAAAATGAGAAACAGCAATTAAAAATCTTCCCAAAAAGAAAAGTCCCGGTTTCCAGATGTTTCACACCCCAAATTTTACCACACTTAACAAAGAAGTACTATTACCTATCTTTGCAGAAAACTATTTCCACAACATCGAGAAGAACGGAAATCTCCCCGACACCTTTTATGAAGGAGAATATGTACTCTTGATACAAAACCAGGAGAAGGATGCAACAAAAAAGGAAAACTACGGACCATATCCCTAATGAAATAGATGCAAAAAATTTCAAACAAAATCTTTAGCTAACCAAATCCAGGATGCTTATCAAAAATAATCCATTCACGACCAAAGTGGGCTTCATCCCAGGGATGCAGGGATGGTTCAACATATGTAAATCTATAAATGCAATTACTACAAAACAGGAAGCAAAAACAAAGACCACGATGATTTCTTTCAATAGATGCAGAAAAACGCTTTGACAAAATTCAATCACCCTTCAGATACGAACACTTAATAGGCATAGAAGGACATACCTAAAAATGATACAGCCATATATGAAGACGCCATAGCAACATCATTACTGGAATGGGGGAAAACTGAAAGCATCCCACTTAGAACTGGAAACCAGACAAGGCTGCCATTCTACACTTATTTCAACATAGTGCTTGAAAGGTCCGGCTACAGCAATCAGACAGGAAAATGGAATAAAGGTACCAAATAGGGGCAGAAGAGATCAAACTTTCACTGTTTGCTGTATGATTATTGATAGTATATTCTTAGAAACCCAAAAGATTCAACCAGGAAAAACTCCTGGGAATTGATAAATGAATTTAGTAAAGTCTAGGATACAAAATCAATACACAGAAATCAGAGGACATTCATATACAGCCAACAACAATCTAAATTGAGAATAAATCAACAGAGACTCAATTCCCTTACTCACAATAGCAACAAAGGAAATTAAAGTACCTAGGAATATACTTAACCAAGGAGGTAAAAGCCTCATACAGGGGAGAACTATGAAACCACTGAGGAAGGAAATAGCAGAGGATGTAACAGATGGAAATCCATTTACCATTGGGCTCGTGGATCGGCAGATCAACATTATTAAAATGTCTATACCTAACCCAAAACGATCGTACAGATTCAATGCAATACCTATTAAAATCCCATCAGCATTCTTCACAGATATAGAAAAATATTTATGCTTTCTTATGGAACCAAAAGAAGACCCCGATAATCAAGAGCAATTCTAGGCGACAAAACAAAATGGGAGCATCATATGCCAGATATCAAACTATATACAAAGCTGTAGTAATTAAATCAATATGGTATTGGCACAAAAATAAGAATATTGACCAGTGTGAACAGATGTGAGAATCCTGATAAAAACCATCCTCTATAGCCATCTAATCTTGACAAAGCAGACAAAACATAAGCTGGGGAAAAGAATCCCTTTTCAATAAATGGTGCTGGGAAACTGGATAGCCACCTGTAGAAGGCTAAAACAGGACCCCACCTTTCACCTCTCACAAAAATCAACTCACGCTGGATAACAGACTTAAACCTAAGGTATGAAACTATTAGAATTCTAGAGAAAAAAGTTGGAAACACTCTCCTAGACATCAGCCTAGGCAAAGAGTTTATGAAGAAGTCCCCAAAGGCGATCACAGCAGCAACAAAAATAAATAAATGGGACATGATCAACTAAAAAGCTTCTGCACAGCCAAAGAAATAGTCATGAAAGTAAACAGACAACCTACAGAATGGGAGAAAATTTTTGCATCCTACGCATCCAATAAGGGGCTGATAACTAGAATATACTTAGAACTCACGAAAATCAGCAAGAAAAAATCAAATAACCCTATTAAAAAGTGGGCAAAGGACTTGAACAGAAACTTTCTAAAGAAGACAGAAGAATGGCCAATAAACATAAGAAAAATGCTCAACATCTCTAATCATCAGGGAAATGCAAATTAAAACCACAATGGAGATATCACTTAACTCCAGTGAGAATGGCCTTTATCAAAAAGTCTCCAAACAATAAATGCTGGCGTGGATGTAGAGAGAGAGGAACACTCCTACACTGCTGGTGGGACTGCAAACTAGTTCAACCTCTGTGGAAAGCAATATGGAGATACCTTAAAGCGATACAAGTGAATCTACCATTTGATCCAGCAATCCCATTGCTGAGTATCTACCCAAAAGATCCAATGACACTCTACAAAAAAGACACCTGCACTCGAATGTTTATAGCAGCACAATTCATAATTGCAAGGCTGTGGAAACAGCCCAAGTGCCCATCAATCCAAGAATAGATTAATAAAATGTGGTATATGTATACCATGGAGTACTATTCAGCTCTAAGAAATA